AAATGAGGCTAAGGGTGAGGGTTGGGTTTAAATAGGACTAGTGCTTAATAAGGGTGCAGGGATTCACTCTAGATTCGTATCCAAACCTTTCACGGCTAAGTGGTAGGAAGGATCCTACATTTCAGTCACTCGGTAGGATCTGAGTAAGAGAATTTGGGTTAGGTCTGTTTAAAAAATTTTGTTATTTATCTCATGAATTATTTCCTGCAATTAAAAAGTAACTCCACTGTTCGTCCGCACTCGTCAACTCAATAAGTTTTGCCCACTTGCATGACTTATTTCACTAACCAACCTGGATTTTATGACATGGTCTTACTCACTGAAGAAACGAACCAAAGCGCTGCTGTTAGTTAATTTTCCACGCGGCATTTCTTATTTGTCAATACGTTTTCTACTGATCAAATTCACGCTCCCTTGGACTTAACCATCCGTTTGCTAAGCATTTATTGGGAATGAAATTGTTTTTTTTTTGTTATTTTCACGGCAAAATTAATTGTAACGAAACAAGTTTGATTTTTTTAGACTGAGGAACGGCGGTAAGCGTAGCACTAATGGTCATGCGACAAAAAAGACGATGTACCACCTGATGCCTTTCGTCTGAGGTTTTTTTTTTTTTTTTGAAGGTAAATTGGAGGGTTTCTTTTTATTTTTTCGAACGTTTGTGGTAAATGATGCAAATGCTTGTTGGGAAGACGTCGAATCCGACTCATTTCAATCTGGAACATATGGAAAGAGGAAGATAGAGAGTGACAACTCACAGGGAACAGTACTTTCATTATTTCACTGGAATTCCCTGTGGCTGCCAGTTAAACTAAATTACTTTGAATTACTACTTTTCTTTTACTTTCGAGTAGGGAAATAAATGATCAAATTTAAGACTAGAGGAAATATGAACGAAATTCTCATCTTTAACAGATGACCGAAGATAACACAGAGATAAAAGACATTTTAAATTTTCCAACCACCATGGTGGTGGTAAAAATCTAAATCTTAAATAACTATGCTAAAAGTAATCCGAAGAATCTTAAAAACCTTAAGATGGACTTAAATATGAGAAAACTATGTCACTATTAAGTCATTTTTTCCCTGTTCTTTCTGAGCTTGTTGACGCCTGCGCACTTGCTCCGTCTTTGCTCTTGTCACGTGACTGTGCGGTGCCTCTGCCCGGTCCACGGTGTTTGACTTTCCCGCCAACCTGAGGCGGAGGATGCGCAGTTGGATCGATACGCTGTATAGTACCGACAGCTTTCGTTCTACCCTCTCTGAAGATCATTCTGGTTTCCGGCTTGACGAATTCCGGTTGTTTTATAAAGCGAAAACGCACCATCGCCTTATCTCCTGTTCTAAGATGGTCTTTATCCATGTGAATTATTGTTGCCGTCTGCCGCATGCTCCCGCAGTGAACTGAAAATAAAGGAAATAAAGATAACAGTGAAATCGCACGAGTAAAGTTTGTCCTCGGAAGATCTGTCGTTGAAGATTGTGTCTGATCCTCATCAGAGTCTGACAAGCCCCATATAAACTAAATATACATTAGTATAAAACGCCTACTTGTCCCCAGTCGTCTCTCTACTTTAAAATACGAGCGTCGTCTCTTTCGTCCTCTCCTTATGGCATGTCATTAAAACCCGTAGTAAACGTTGTCTACGATGCAAGCTCGACCGAGTCTTGTCTTTTGCTTAATTGAAAGGCGTGCCATCTGTCCTAGATGTAGTTAACAGCTTAAAAATAAACAAAAGCTCTATAACTAACTTAGCTGGCGCTTTTGAATGCTCCACTGAAGCATTGATTGGCAGAGCTGGGAAGACGAGTGGCGAAGCCGCTAGATTATAGGAAAGAAAACTTAGAGAAGTCTATGTATCTCGTCTTCAAAGCTTGGCCGCCTTTGCTTCCATCGACCGTCCAAAAAAAACGGCCCGTTACGTAGGCGAAAAATTCCATTAGTATCACTGCAATATTTCGCTTTATAACCTCCTTCAGCGTACTAACCCATTGCCTGGTATTTTGTACTGATGGTTGTCGGGTGATGAAGAACCAAAACCTCGGCTTCGAATTCCCAACATGCCTGCGGCTTCACTTGTTTATCCACCATAACCATTCCTTTGCGTATTTGAGATCTTTTTATCTGAATGCAAAAAAAAAGCACAAGTTACATTTGATGACATCGCAAATAATCTTCTCATCACCCTTTACTTTGCCTATTATTATAAACAGCCTTCCTTCGACAAGGACGAAGAGTAAAACAAATGTAACTCAGCACAGGGGCAAAGACAAGGCGCAGAGGGGTGGGACGGGATGCCTCTTAAACTCTTCTCCACCCTCTCGTGAGATGATCAAAACATCACTTTGCGACTTAAGTCCGAATTTTGTACAATCTATACTTCCATATCTCCTACATAAATAGGTTTTACTTTTACATGTTAAAAAAGATATCCCAAAGTCAAATGCATGATTTTCAGATGTTACCCACCTTTTTCAGAGCAAACGAAGCCGTTTGTCCCGCACGGAGTTCCTTCACTGGCATTCTTTTGCGATGTATTGTCTTTACTGTGATCGGTTGAAACTGACCAAGAGGATCTGGTCCGAGTAGAAGGGTGTCATTCAGTCGAATGGTGCCTCGCAGACACGTGCCTGATACAACTGTACCGACACCCTAAATGATCCAACACTTCAATTACTGATATGTATCTCTTCCTCTTTAAATCAATCAAACACAAAAAAAAAGAATTCTAGGTTATAAGCTTTTTATAAGGTTAAGGAACAAGGTGCGGCTAGAGACGAGTACGAACTTTAGGATTTCGTTTAGATAAAAAAACAATCTTTTCCAGCTACATTGAAGAAATTTATTGAAGTTCATGAGAGGGATAATAGTAATGGAAATGAGTATGGGAATTTAACAGTTGACATACCACGAGGCGGCTGTCTGCTGTTTCTAGGCCGAATTTTGGAGAAAAACCCTCGGAACAAAGACGAGAACCAGGTCCGAGAATCGTACCCAGGCTACAGCGGTGGAGTCGAGCACTAAGATCTTGATGTATGTAATTTATAGTTTCTAGCGCACACAAATCGATAATGTTTTATTTTCACCCCTCTTTTCGTTCAGTTAACTCAATTTTAACTGAAAATTAACCCTTGAAAAATGTGTTACCCACCGGTACTGAGTAAGTGTCGTCGATCTGGAACTCAGATGGTTCATCTTTCCTGAAGTGAGCTCGAATTGACAGCAAATTCAAAAACATCTTCAGCAGGTCCAAGTTCTCACCAGTTACGTTGGAAATCTGAAATATTGGGCAAACTCTAGCAAAAAAAATTAAAGAAAAGAGAACCACATGATTAATAGGGTATGTGATCGTGCGAGAGATATGGCGCCAGAATTATGGTACGATAGGGTACAGTGGTTTTGGAGATCGGCGACTTTGATCAGTCTTTACAAAGGACACTATGATCATGGTTTATATACATAGTCATGATGGAACAGTTCAAAAGAAAAATCAAAGTGTAAGTCACCTGATGTATGCTCAAACGTTCATAACTAATCAAGATTGACGGGTAATAAGTCTTTAGTCTTGCATGCTCTTGAATAAGCCGAAAGCCGTTCTTAAAAATGAGAAACCCAAGTAGGTCGACCGAGACAAACAAAAGCTCAGAGATTATCAAATAGGCTACACTTTTTATTTTTGATCGATCATCAAAAAATTCTAAGTCTTGATATCGGTAATTTTTATAGCCATCAGCTATGTTTTCACTACCACTGTCATATATCATCTCAGTTTATAGAGCGTGCGCTTTGATTGATCAACTTAGGGGGGCCGTACTGGTATTTCACTGTTCGGCCATAGTTAATTCCCTCGATTAACTATGGTTCGGCCCACTAGATTCATAAGATTGTTTGAATTGAAAACGTCCCCCTCTATTTTCACCCATATATAGGGACTGGAACTGTTTATCACCTGGAACTAGATCACTTAATTATTCAGCTTTTTGCAGTACAAAATTTTTCTAAGTTTAAGCATAGCTATATTGTTAATTACATATTTTATTTATTTATTATTTTTATTAGCTATGTTTATATTTTTATATTTTTATTCTTTTATCTCTTCTTGATGTGTAATAGCGTTGAAGAGTAATAAAGTAGATGTGAATGTAGATATACTAAATAACTTCATTTTTTCGGTCCGTACTGTAAGTTACGGAACCCCGTTTTTTTCTCGCTCGGTTCCCGAAACTCAGTCCGCGGACCTCAAACTTGGTTAGTATGTATCCTGAATGTCGCACTGAAATATTTCTACGCCATAAAAATTTCCTAAAGTGCAAATAAACTATCAACTATCTACATCAAAACCATTTACCATTTAACCCCTCCAAAAACCTTGAGTTCATACCTTTCAGAAACAAAGTTCGTCGCTGAGACAACCACATCATCACTGTTTTGAACAATGACAGGGATTTTACGGCAGCCAGGTGATTTCAGAATCCTGGATAAGAGTTTCATGGTATCTTGTAGCACATTGGGCGGACACATGTCAATCTTGGTCACCACCACAAACACAGGAACATTGAGTGCAAGGGCCAACCCAAGATGCTCTGGTAGGTAAAAAAAAAAAAATTCCGGGAATGTTAAACTTTGTCCAAAAGAGCAATATAAAAAGAGATACTAATAAACTGCAAAGTAGCCCTCTGATACTTTTCTCTGCTTCCCTTTCAAGTTATCAATACTAGCCAAAAATATATATCCAAATCCTAGTCAATCCTGTTACCTTTTGTCATGCCTATGATTCCTGCATTTGACCCAATCTAAATGAGAAAAGTAACAACAAAAAAACGAAGATCTTCGTGAAACATCATGCACAACACTTAAATTAAATTTGGTTCTTCGGAAAGGGACTCATCTGAAAAGTTATGCGGTGGGCCTTGATTCTCAAATTTCTTTAGGGGTTTCTCTTAATTACCCAGTGCAAGAGTAGTAAAAGACTATTTTTCTTGTAATTCTTCCTTGCACAAATTCTTGCGTGCACTTTGTCCAAACAACAAAAAATTATCGCTATGGTCGATTCGTAATCAATAAAAAAAATTTTGGTGGTTAAAGTAAAAATAACTTAAAAGCAATGCACAGTGATGTGACTTCTTACCATTAGCATGGCAAAGTCTGGCACATGTCCTGTCATTCCAAAAATTGTTGTTTTCAGGTATCTTTCATGCCCTGCCAGATCAATAAAAGTGATGACCTATGAAAAAACAAAAAGAACTTTACCATGAGATGTTTTGCCCCCTTTTGCTGTATGACTTAAATTGTGTAGAATGTGCTGTAAGTTATTTAAAAAACTCATAAATAGAAATGTAAAAATTTTTGGCTTTCCCCTCAATAAACAAAAGGTAGAAGACAGAATTGCAACAAACCTTTGAAGACTTCTGGCATATCCTGGACCAATCAAGTCCACGTCCTGAGACAAAAATAGAAATATGAGACATGCTTTAAGTATTGTTTGGTTAAGTCAATGAAGGATCAGTTAAGGCAATGTAAATCCCTTTAAAAGACGCATAGAAGAGCTTCTAATCTTCTGGTGCACAGATAAGAGGGGGCACTATGTTTTCTATGAACAATAATTTTCTTACCATGGGTATCAGGCTTGTTCACCACATCTCCTCTGCTATCAAATCCCAAGATATCATTTCCCACACTACTGGTTCTTCCTGATTCCATCTCATGCTTGTGGCGAAAGAGCCTCTGTCTTGCCATGCCTCGTCCATTGTCCAGTTCTCCATGAGTCAGCACACCAAGTAAGGTGCTCTTGCCAGCATCAACATTGCCTACCACTGCCACCCTAATAAAATATAGAAATTAAAATGAGATTATCTTTTTTAGGATTTTTATCAATGTAGCATCTGCTGGGATACTATTGGAGTCAAAGTGTCACAAGAAAGGTTGGGGTATGTAAAATAATGTTTAACAGCCACTTATCTGTATCATGAATACTTTTTCGGTTCAAAATCATAACTTTATTTGAAACAGGCACTTAAGGATGCTTACCTACACACACACACACACACGCACACACACACACGACACAGTAATCTTGTGCATGGGAAATTAACGTCTCCTACCCCTAACCCTGCAGGAGACAGGGCCTATGGTTTATTCGTCCTTATCTGAGAAGACTAGAATATCTATCCATTCCTTGATTATAGAAAGGTAACAAATTCTCCTCACTTATTTTAAGACCATGAGTATTACCTCACTTCCATAAAATCATGCTCATCCACTCTGTTACGGACAAGATATTCAGCTACAGTACCCTCCTCTGCTGGCTTTTCTCTCAGCAGGACAACATCAGCATTACAGGACTCAGCTAATAGTTTTAAGGAATCCACAGATGCTTTAAGATCCTCTTCAGTGAGTCCACTTGCTGCTCCATCTACAAAATCAATATGCTCATCTGATGACAAGTATGAAATTGAGTATTGTAATCTTTGAAGCTACATCCATCAGGGAAATTTTTCAACCAGTAAATAATTAACAACTATTCCCTGAAGTGGAGGTGGTTAGTGGTGGATATTTACTGAGACATGAAGCGGTGAGGTAAATATCCACCACTAACCACCGACATTGAGGTGAATAGTTGTTTTAGTATATACTAAAACAGTGACAGAGATAATATACACCACCGTCGTTAATTTGAGTGATTTCTTCACTTGTCACAGATGCAAACCAGGACGCCACTTTTCCCGAGTTGCTCAGAGGTAAATAGCAAGGGATATTCGGAGTTTGACTAGCCAATCAGAGCGTGCCTTCAACGCTATCCACTGTTTTAGTATATACTAAATGAGAATACACACCCTCAGCTAGAGGGTTTTATTACCATTTAGCACCAAATTCTCCTTAAATATACACAACAAAATTTATAATGCCAATGATGAAGGATTTCTATAGCACCACATCCATCATCTCATGGCACTTTATGACACACTGTGGGGGACTCAGGCCAGACATTATTTTTATAATTATTTTATGGATATCATGGCAGATGCCCACTAACCTCAGAATCAAAGTCAGATCACAACATTGGGATCTACATTGCCTACTCTTTATGAGAAGTACGTGGGTCCTCTTATGTCCCCTCAGGGTCCAAAATTGCGCTTTCCTGGTCGCCAATACCACTAAAAACTTTGCACTGGCAACCAGAATTTCACAACCGGTCCCCAGACGGCAATTAACTATTTCATGCCCCGATAATTATACAAACAATAACTTTGATTTTCAGCCAAATCGATTAAATGTGTGGCTTGTGTTTCGCTGCAAAGGAATAATTTTATTGTCACTTTTTGGTGACCACATTTTTCCATATGGCGACTGAAAAAAAAATTCCAGTCGCTAGTTGGCGCCTGCCTAAAAAAGTTAATTTCAGACCCTGCCCCTAGTAACCCAGTACAGAGAAGATGCAGGAGATGGGGCCTACAGGTTATTGTCCTTATTGCTGAAGATAAAGATGCCAAATCATTTGCAGATGTCATAGCAAATGTAGAAAATTCTCTTCAGTTATTTCAAGACCCTGATTGTTGGTCAGGTCTTGACCTTCAACCTTCAACCTCCCAGACTGCAGTTTGGTGCTCTATAACCTGACCTAACCAGATGGCAGTATATAGAAGCAAGAAGGGAGGGTTGCTGAATAAATCAGGTCTTAATGAGCTAATGCCAAGTCCCCCTCCCAATAAACATAGTCCAATAACACCAGTTTCAAGACCCACTTGCACTGTAAACTACAAAACACCTCTAGTTTGTAAACCACTTTTTAGTGAAAAAGTTTCCTCATTAAAGATTGTCATCATCATCTAGTGGGGAAAGAACTTCTATAAACTGTATCTATCTATTTCCTCCTTATGAAATCTGCTCCATGAGCCATAAGAAGAACAAATGGTGCCCTATTTTAAGCTTGTCCAGATGAATTTAGCCACATGATAAAAAAAATCACTTATTTTTATATAAGAATTAAAATTATACGAATTCACTCCAGACACCAACATGAAGATTACTTACCCCCAACACCAACTTCATAAATGGTTTCCCCATGTCCCTCATCTAACCTTTCCTTAAGTTTTTGCAGTAAAACATCAAATTGATTATCATCTGGACTGATCAAGGCAACCTGAAACATACATGAAATTATCACAAATCAATTTTTCTGTAAATCCAAGCAAGTTTTCAGAATCTTCTCCTTTCTTTCCGGTGTGACTACATGACTCATCTGGTAGTAGTGGTTGGTATCATGCGTTATTATCCAACTGTGCTTTGTAAAGTACAAATAACATGCAAATCAAGTACAAATATCATACAGTATTTGTACTCCAGAGAACTGGTTAAAAATTTGCTGCACTGAAATAACAGTTTGGTGTGTTAGACAATAAATCTCTTATTAAATGTTTTGTTGTGTAGTATTGCTGAGTATTTTTACTCATTGTTTGTGTTTTGACTTACCCTATGGGCTAGTCAAAATACAGCACAACTCGTTGAAATACTCAGCGATACTACACAACAAAATATTTAATTAGATACATTTATCTTATTTAATTGAGAACAGATTTCTTTAAATATTTGAAGGAACAGAGACCGGGCCCACTTCAGTTTGCCTGACTACAAACATGTGGCTTTATAGTTCGACAGAAGGCATTAGCATCAGTATCTGGGAGGCACAGTTTCAAATCCTGTCCAAGCCCAGATTTTTCAGGATTCTTCAACTGTAACTCACCTGGAAGGATCAATTACATACTTTTCACCTGCGGCAGTTCAAAATGATTCATTTCATATGATTGATCATACCACATACGCAAAGCACAAGAAATTGAAAATGAAAAATAACATTGAAAAAATGTGAGGAAATCAAAATCTTTATGGTAATTTTTTGCAGGCCATCATAAACTTGTTCCTACCCGTGGATCGATTGCTTGTTCAGCATCATTTAACGTGTTGCTACCATCGCAATCAAATTCCCCACTACTGTCTGGTGCAAATAGGTTGTTAGCTTCCTCTAGTGACCCTTCCTGTCTGCCATTCAGTGAAGATCCAGAGAATTTTTCCTCTATATTGATTGTCTCTGCAAGAGCACTCATTCTTTTGTTTGTGATTTACACTCTTGAAGACCTACAAAAACCACACAACAACAATTTTATGACTGAAAAGTGAAAGGAATGAGTCACATTCTCAATGAATAAAAAAAATCTAAAATATACACATTTAAATAGCATATCTGTGCACAATTTGAACCTGAAGTCAAACTGAGCACATCCATAATTGCTCTATTAACATAAATCCTTTCATGATCTTAAGGCAGGTTCCAAATTCTAAGACTTATTATCCATTTTGAAAAAAAACACTAAAAGAATTCTAGAAACTATCCACGTTTTTCTGTAATACAATTGTTTCATACCCACCTAAATCGTGGATCATCAAGACCACTCCTTGCTGAAAACAACTGGGACTCTAGAATCAAACAAGGTACGCCGGCGTTATGTTATAGACAGTAAAAGCTTGCAGTATGCAGTCCCTTCGGATGATGAGAGAATAACACTCTTAGCTATGTGTAGAAAGTGTGCAGAACCGTCTGATTTACGGCACTGATTTCACCAAACCCTGGTTGCCTGAGGAAATGTGGTGTAACACAAGTCCCTCTAACCAATAATAACAATTGTCTAAGGGTTTTTCACTGTAAATAAGGTAAATTTCATCAGCCAGCACCAGACGCTTGCGTGGTGTTATTGTTTCCAGGCCTCCTCAAAAAACATCTAAAGTAATGGGAAAATTCACAGGACAAAAAATTGAGGGTTAACGATGCTGGGTTTCGTTAAAGGGACAGGAAAGGAATAATTGATCTATTGGAAATTTAATCTCTGAAAAAGCAAGCAAATCAAATTTCGCATTATTGTTTTTGCGGAGCTCTGTCGTTTTTGTGTGAAAGATGAACAACACGTTAACGTGGACAGCGGAGTATCTTCTAGAAGAAGAACTGATTTGTGTAACGCCAATAATGTTTCAACGACAATGTTCCAAGGATGGAAATTTATCATGAGCGACAAAGACAAATGCTTTGTGCAGTTCATACCTTAAACAACCTTTTCCAAGAACAGAATGCCTACAGTAAGGCAGACCTAGATGCCATTAGCTACCAGCTCAGCCCAAACGCTTTCGTCAATCCGCATAAAAATATGCTTGGCTTTGGAAATTATGACGTGAATGTTCTAATGGCGGCGTTGCAGTTGAGGGAGCACGAAGCAGTGTGGTTTGACAAGAGATTGTGAGTAGTCTAATCTCGGAGAAGTAAGCACCAAGTCAGTAGGAACAAATGAGGAGAGCAGAATTTTATTTTTGGACTTGACATGCACTCAATGGTTAATTCGTTATGAGTTCATAATAGTCATAATATACATGAACACGTAGCGGGGATGAATTTGTCTCAATGCTCCTCCAAAATTCTTAACATGATTGTGTATACAAAGTTGTGTATATCATCAAGGATGATATTCAAGATTATTTCCAGGATCTTAAGATTTCTCACCAGGCATTCAAAACTTCTTAATGCCACTAGGATCAAATCTTCACCCCTTGAAAGTTTGGAGTTATCCAAGGTAACGCTTTATAGCTTACAAGGTTAAATGTGGTGCTTTCTGTTTCAAGTACCTAGAACTATATTACAGCTTAGATGGAAGAGATACAATTTTCATCAGAGTAGCACTTTTAAGGAGCCACTCTGTAATATTTTGAGCACTTTTAGACTGGTCAACAAACTACCAATATAATTAAAAGTACGGCAGTAGAACGATGTTTGAAGTACCAATTTTGACTTAAAAATTCAAAGAAAAGAGACAAAAACTATGAATAAGAAAATGGTCAAGGGGGTTAGTTTTAAAAAAAGCTTTGGTTCTGTGTGGTTAGAGAGGATATGACAAGATAATTTGGTTTTATCAACTTAGCTGATGATGTAAATTCGCTGCTGTAAAGAGTTTTTAAAGCTAACAGAAAGCAGAAACTGGAAAGCAGGAATGATTTTGTTCTATCTACTCTTTTCCTTACAGGAAAGTTGAAAGTTTAGACCTTCAACACATCTTTGGATTTGTGGTGAATAAACCTTCAAATGTTAACCTAGTTTGGTTGGAAGTACCCCTTAAAAGGCCTCATTGGTTTGCAGTTCGCAAAATAAATGACATTTACTACAATTTAGACTCCAAACTCTCTTCTCCCCATTGTATTGGCAGAGAAGATAAACTTTGTGAGTTTTTAAATGAATTGTTGTCCATGTCAGCTATGCAGCTTTTTGTCATTGTCAAGAAAAGTGTTGCAGAAAACAGTCTTTGGAAAAGACAGTAAAAGTAGTGACTAGTCTATTATTCAAATTATAAATGCAATTGAAATATTTCATTGTGTGTATAGTACTCAGATTTAGAGTAAAGTATTCAAAAGACTGGTTATCATATCATTCAGCCCCAGTTTTATTTCTGTTGTAGATACTGCCCTAATAAAAAATTCTTGCATCGGTCAACTATTCTCTGCATGACCTGGAGTTCCATAGAAACATGGTTAATGTTGTTAGAGTCCATTAAAATATCAAGTGTTCTCATCTCTTCTCCAAAGCCTTGGGACCCCCTTCCCCCCTCTTTAGTGCTTGTGAATGTCAGAGAGTCTCAGAGTGAATACTTCACTGAATCACATGGATCTGTTTGGGAATTCTATAGAAGTTAAAGACATCACATTGGAAGCACTTTACCCCTAAAATTAAATGTGGCTTCAACCAAAGTTAACCCATTAGGTGATGTTATCAGGGATCTTGGAGCACAAATACATTCAAAGGCACCTGAGACCCAAGCTATCTTAACCAAATTAGCTGTTTTATTTAGTTCTCCCCACCTTATCTGTACTTCAAAAAGGCAAAAACAAGGGATTTTGAGGACAAAACAATTAAAGAGCGGGACCTTATTTACCAAGTTAAGTCACCACCGTATGAAAAGATTAGCAAGAACGCTATACTATCGGTTCCGGTCCCAACCTGTCTCGTTTATTTGAGTAAAGACTGGGGTTGAGTCAGACGAAAATACTGTTTCACTTTCGATGACGTCACGGATAAGTCTCATCATAGCGTTGCGAACATGGCCTCTCCACTTAACAGCAGCAATTGTTTCTTGTAATTTTCTTTGTCTTCGAAGAAGTCAGGTTTGTTATTGTTAATTTTCTTTTCATTGGCTAACTGTCGAAGAAAGTGAGGGTGAATGCAGCATTTGGATACTCTTTCTTGGTATAATTGCGATGCCTGTTTCAAACCTAAGTATTCGATTCTTCCTTCGTTAGCTTCGATTAACATTTTTAATCTGATTCGATACGCTTGAAAAGGAGGAAACTATGTGTCTAAAAAGCCGATGTGATATACCTTAAACGTGTTGGAGGCCAATGCGACTTAAAGTAACCCCCCGCAGAAGGTTACTTTTTAAATTTCCTTACCCGACTTGTTTTGCTTTCATCAGCTTAATTTTAGTTGACGGTGTTGTTTTATGTTACAGTCAAACTAAGGGAAGCGTACCCCTCAGGATTACATTAATGATTTGATTATTTGAATCTTGAACCCGCTAATCGTTTCAGTAGCACAATAACGCATTGAATATTTGAACATGGAACCCGCTAACCGTTTCACGAATGCAATAATGGATTGATTATTTGAATATTGAACCCGATAGCCGTATCTGTTTTGAAAAGGCGCGGATCATTGTTCAAATCAGAAGTCTATTTCTCTCAAAAAAGAAACAACAACTTTGAGTTTAAATTTACAAGACATGTTTCGACATTCTCATGTCATCTTCAGTTGCAAATGAGCATTAACGTTTATTTCTGATTGATTATGCGAACATGTGATGATGGATCAGAACTATTTCAACATGGCGTCAGACATGGGGGGAAGGGTGAGTTCGAGTGTTGTGTAGAATTTCTTGTAAATGTTGTAGATGGAATGTTATCGCGAGCTTTTTTCGCCTATTTACATCTTGACGAACTTGTAGAAATTCTTGTGTGTATTCATGGTCGAAAAAAATAGTTTACAGGCGAAGCCATCCCAAAACTTTTATTTCGTTAATGGATTGATTATTTGAGTATTGAACCCGATAGCCGTATCTGTTTTGAAAAGGCGCGGATCATTGTTCAAATTAGAATTCCGTTTCTGAATTCCAATGAGATTGTTCTATTTGACCAGGAATCCTGAAAATGAACAAACTGCACTGTAAAAACACTGCGAAAACAGTCGATTGCAAATATTATTGCATTCTTGAAACGACTGGCGGGTTCAATATCCAAATGATCAATTCATTAATGTAATCTTGAGGGGTACACTTCACTTAGTTTGACTGTAATATCTGTGTCTGGATGCATGTATTCTTAGTTATCATAGTATTTGCCATACAGAGTGACCAATAAGGTTTACATGCCATTGTGTAATAATGAAAAGGGAGAAGAAAGAAGGGTTGAATGACGCATACATCTGGGATTGTAAAGTAATTTGTGATAAGCTTAAACCCGGTTTAAAAAATTCTTAGTTCTGCATTTGATGATTCAAATGGACATGAAATCAAATGACTTAACTCACCCAGACTTGGCGAGAAGATTGTCTGCCATTGTCGAATCCCATTTAATCTATCGATTAAGCAAAAACCACTTTACGCGCTACGAAAACGTTTTTTAATCACTTAATGAAAAGCAGAAGAGCTTTTTATGGTTTTGAGTCAATAATTGATCTCCTATAAACAAAATAACAGCATATTTTTGTGGCGTTCTACCTTCAACCTGAAAAGTGGCGTTCTGGCGTCTGCGAAGTGACCACGCGAACGTCATGACATGCTCAGTATGTACATAGTTCCTCTAATGACTTCTGGTAGGCGTTCGTGACCTCAAGAACATCTGGTGCTTAAGCTCTTTAATATAGGGCACCTGACAAACTGCATCAGCATGGAGCATTAACATCAGTCTTTTTCTTTGGCGATGTATTTTTTTTTTTTCTTTTTTTGCTTGTGTGATGGACTTTGCCAAAAAGCAGTACTCCTCGTAGTCTACTTAGTCGCCTGTTTCAAAATCAAGGAGGGTATGTCACCATATAATCACCTAAAATAATCTTTGACACAATTGCATTATTATTTTAGGAAGGATTTATGGCTGCATCTGGCACTTCAGCATCATTTTCCTCCACTAAAGAAACAACCAATTATGCACGACTTTGTCGACTTCTGGTTGGTGTGGGATCTGAAGTGATTAGGGTCACATTTGACAAAATACATCCTCCTGCCAGTCTTCACACCATCCTGACAACATATCATTCCAAACTGCAAGCACTGCGCAAAAAGGTTTTAAATGCTACTCAATGGGGAAAGCTATACCCTGCAATACGCACCTCTGTATCCTCTAGAGACTTTGACATTACACTTCTGACAATTCTTCTGAGGAACATTTGTGGGTTGACTCCCCCAGCAACAGGCTGGGATGCACTTCCATCTGAAACAGATGTGAGCACTGAGGCCAACATTGCAAGGGTGAAATATTTTAGAAACACCGTGTATGGCCATGCAGACCAGGCCTCTGTGGATGATGCAACCTTTAATGTCTATTGGAAGGAGATACGAGATGCTCTTGTGAGTCTTGGAGGAACTAAATATGAAGCTGCCATTGATGATTTAAAAAATGAATGCATGGACCCTGAAATTGCTGACCACTTTGAAGAACTCTTAAAACAGTGGAAAAAGGATGAGGACAACATCAAGGATGTACTAGAAGAAATCAACAGGAAACTTGAAAAATTGACGACATCAACAAGTACATCTCAACCCAAAGGTATATTTCTGATGTGGTTATTAATATTCAAGCTTTTCCTCTAGTTTGAAATATTTATAAGAGTGAGATGCTTTTGCTTTTTTCCTTCTCTTTCCCCTCCTCTCCTCTCTTCTGTTCTTTTTTCCTCAGTTTCTGTTCTTGCCTCTCCTCTTTCCCTCTGTATCCTCTCTTTAACCCCCTCCTCCCTCTCTCTTCTCCTTCCTTCCTCTCTTCTATCAACCTGCTTCTGACTTTCTTTCCCCGCTCCTCTCATTTCATGACCTCCCTTTTGCTTTCCCCTCCCCCTTCCCCTCTTCTTATAACTCACTCCTTGGTTTCATTCCCCTCTCCTTTCCCCACCCCATCCCTTCTCCTCTCATCCCATCTCGTCTCCTTTTCTCTCCTCTCTTCTCGTCTCTCCTCTAGCTCCTAATTTCTATTCCTCTTTTCTCTCCTGCCCTCCCATCTTCTTTCATTTCTCTTCTCTCCCCTCTTTTATCTCTCTTCTCATCTCATCTCCCTGTTTGTCTTTTCCCTTCCCCTCCTCTATCCTCTCCTAATTTTCTTTTCCCTTTGTTGTCATGTCTTGTTCTCCCTATTTCCCTCCCGCCCTCCCCTTTTTTCTTAGCTTCTCTTTTATCCTTTCACCCCTGAGTCCCCATTCCTTTCCTCTTTCTTCCTCTCAGTCCCTCTCTCCCCCCCTCTTACTTATCCTCTCTTCTCTTTCAATTCCCTTCCCTCACTTCACCTTTTTTTTCTTTTATCCTTTGGGAAATACGTTGGATTTCAAATTCAAAATTAATAGACGTTGTCTTGGATTTGTTTTTGAAAAAACTTTGGGTATACTACATTTTCTTGTTTTTGTTTGTTTAATTTGTTTTACATATCTGCCTGCAACAGAAGTGTTTTACTCTCTCTCCTTTCCTTGAATTCCCATTCTCCTCCGCCAGGTTATCTTTCTATCTATATTTTCATTCTTCTTGCCCTCTTGTTACGTCCCTCTTTAATTCTTTTCTGACTGGTTCTCTTAATTTTTGTCCTCTCCTTTCATCCTCCCCTATCTTTACTGTCTATCCTTTTGTTTCCTTTCTTCCCTTGCATTTGATTCAAACTATCTTGTTTTCTCACACCTTGGCTCCTTTGCGCTCGAAAGAGGTTTCGCTAAGCTTCGTTTATTATTAATGTTCATTGCTGTGTCTCTAGCAGCCATACTCAAATACCATATTGACAGAAATTACATCGCTTTCAGAATATGAAGAGACAAATGACCTCATAGAAACGATTCGCAAACTCTACAATACGCGTGAAGGTCGGCTGTCGCCGTTTCCTTGGTGTGAAGAGTTCAACTTTGACCTAAACGACATATTTACCAAGCCAACCATTGTCACACGCGACAAAGCTGGAAGATCAGTGGCAGAGCAAATAGATAGTACAACAGGAGTCTTCAAACCTCGTAAGGACCGTTCCAAGCCAAGGACTGTCCTAATTGAGGGGGAACCAGGAATGGGCAAAACAACCTATTGTCAAAAGGTGGCATATGACTGGGCCAATGGTCTGGAAACCGAGGAATCCTTCCCCACTATTGAATTGCTTCTCTTTCTCAGATGTTGCGACATGTCAGGCAGCATATGGGAAGCTATTGATGATCAGCTTCTTCCAAAAGACATCGAAGCGGACGCAAAAGAGAAGTTCTTCAAGTTCATTCGAGCCAATCAATCCCAGGTGTTACTTGTACTTGATGGACTGGATGAAGCTCCATCAAATCTTTTGAAGATGTTTATTGACCTTGTTCAAGGTAGAGAGCTTCCGAAATGTCACATCATTCTTACATCCAGGCAGGAGGGTGGCGTGACTGTGAGCAAGTATTGTGACTCCTTACTTCACATTACAGGATTCTCAACAGAGCATGCTCGAAGCTTTATCACTCGTTACTTTGATGGTCGGGAAGCGTTAGGTCAGAGGCTCTTAAGTGAAATAGAACGCAAGAAAGAACTGTTGGAACTGACGATGCATCCTTTAACGACAGCTCTTCTCTGTCTCCTGGGTGAAGACTATCGCGGCACTCTGCCCTCAAGCAAAACTGAACTCTATCTTGAAATAGCTAGTTGTGTTTTTAGGCGATTTCGGCGAAAGAAAGGACTCTCTGATGTAGAAGGAAACTTAATTGACTTCTACAAAGATGATGTAAAGCGACTTGGACGATTAGCCTTTAAAGGTTTGATAGAAGATCAGTTGTACCTGCAGGGAAAGGAACTTGGAGGTTCAGCAAGTGAAATACCGGTATTTGAGTTCCTGTCAGTCCACACCAATCGCAGCAAAAGACGTCCTTGCCTGGATTATGCATTTATTCACAAAAGTTTTCAAGATTTCTTTGCGGGCTTTTTTTTGGCGAACCAGATTTTAAGTGGTGTAATTACCCCTGAAGTGCTTTTTCCAAAAGATGGGTCATACCTTAAGTTTGAGCTCGCTCATTTCTTTGCATTCGGAATTATCAGCCTCAAGAGTGAAGAGAGAGCAACATATTTCATGAACACCATAGTCGCGAACATTAATCAAAGCAATGACTTTCTCGCAAGTTACTTATCGTATTTTGCCTTAAAATGCATTAGGGACTGTTTTGTAACTAGTTCTATTCTTTCTAGTCAGCTGTTGCTATTGTTTGGCACTAAACTGCAGCGACAGAATATTGCTATTTTCGACGGAAGATGTGACATCCCGTTGCTTGCTGAGGCCCTAAGAGTAAACACCACTCTGAAGGAATTCAGTACCCCATTGCCATTGTATTTTCCCAGAGACACATGTGCTGTTTCCTTGGCTAGGACCTTGCAGGTCAACCAAACACTGGAACAGCTCCACTTACTAAACAATTTTACCAGCGCAGTTGGGGTCCAGCAATTGGTAGACGTGCTAATGGTTAACTCCACCCTCCACTCATTAAGCCTGGCTGGCAATGCGTTGCAAGATGATAGCGCCGGGATTTTGGCGGAGTACTTAAGGGCTAATAAAACCCTGGTTTGTTTAAACTTGGGAGTAAATGGAATCACCGACCGTGGTGCCACATTTCTAGCAGAGAGTCTACGCCAAAATACCACGTTAAAGTATCTGATCCTGGGAGGAAACTTAAGCTTTGGTAACCCTGGTGTTTTGTCGCTCTGTGAAACTCTCCGAATAAACAATACGCTCGCTGAATTGAATCTGTCAGGAAGTGGCATAGATGATGTTGGTATTAATTTGCTTCTTACAACCGTCAGAGATCGTACCACCCTGACCGGTCTGAACCTGTCTTATATGAAGATGATAACCAAGAAGAGTATCCGATCTGTCGCTGAATTCCTAAGAGTGGATTCCTCCTTGGTATCACTTTATTTTCAAGGAAACAAAGTAAGTGTAGGTGGCACCCGATTAATCGCTGAAAGCCTCAAGGTTAACAAAACTTTGAAAATTTTAGAATTGTCAAGGAACAACATCAGAGCGCCAGGGGCCCATTTTCTTTCCGAAGCGCTTAAAGCCAACACAGCACTAGTCTTTTTGGGTCTATCGCAGAACGCGCTCAGAGCTCGAGGTGCCCAGCTAATTTCAGATGGTCTTGGAGTCAACTCTTCCCTGACTGAGCTTGATCTGTCAGCTAATGGCATTGGTCCTGAAGGTGTTCAGTCAATTGCCCAGGCCCTTAAAATTAACAAAGGACTGATTGGTCTTAACTTGTCAAGTAATGCCATTGGAGATTCTGGAGCTAAAACACTCTGCCAGGCCCTGAAAGGAAATCAAACCCTGGCTACACTGTTGATCGCAGAAAACGGAATTGAACCTTCCGGTGCAAAGGCTCTTTCGGAGGTTCGAAAAACCAATAGCACGTTGCATCAGTTATATTTGGGAGGCAACAATATCGGCGAATCTGGATTTCAAGCACTCTCAGAAGCTGGTTTCCAGGTGTTCCTTCCATCGCAAATTAGTTGTTGTACAATTGAGTTGACCCTCAGTCAATGAACGTGGCCACTTAAATTGCTGCAAAATGAACGTTCTGCTGATAAGAAAAGAAGAATGCATATTGTGAGAAATGAGTATACCTGGACCTCTGCTAGCTAAGCACATTTGAAAGTGTATGAATTGTAAGGCACATAATATGCAGGAATGGAGAAAGTCTCTCTCGCAAACCAATGAGATGTCTATATTCTACTTGCAAGCCTACCGAATTTAGCATATTTCGCGCTCGTTAATGAAGTAAATACGCTAAAATCATAAATACGACCAATCTGAGACATGTATGTATTTCCTCTCTTTCAATTCGGTAGCACATTTAAATTACGCACCAGGAGAGAGATTCTGCCTTTTGTGTCGATTATTACCAAGGATTTGCCGATACCGGTTTTTAAAAATCGATACCGAGTACGGTACTAACTTTTTCCCTCGATATTGATAGCAGTGTTGCTACTTCGTTTTTAGTGATCATCCTTGTTATTTGCAAGGACGGTGTTTCAAAGTCTTTCAGCGGTTTCAATCATGGCTATAGTTCTAATTTCTGCGCGGCATTAGCATAATTAAATAGATTTCGCGTTAATATAGTCAGTTTTCCAAGGCTATCTTTATGTCGGTTTTTTTACGAGCTTTTGTTTTGTACATGTATCCCAACTGTTAGGTACGTTATTACTTTCCTTTTTCCTTTCAATTTCCATTTACTTTGTTTTGTTTTTTTTTATGTTTTTTTGTTTTGTTTTGTCTTTTTTCTTTATCATTGTGTGTTACCGTTAGTTTTAGTTTATTTCTTGATATTTTCTCAGAACAGCTGGTAAAGTAAATATATGATGATTATCATAATTTACCAGTGCATTCGTTACAGTCGGTTAAAAGGTTTCCCCGAACTGTAAAATTGATGTTTACTCGGTACTCTATAAATGTACCAACAACGTAGCCAAACAAATGAAAGATTTCAATTTATTAACGAAAAAATTGTCTTGCTCTGTAAATCAACGGAGACTAAGGATTTTTAAAATCGAAACTGATCCTTCCAATCGCTCTCACGGTACTCGCAGCGACTAGCAGAGTTACTCGGGGAAAACCACGGTTATTGCACGCTCCATTATTTGCAATTGTGCTCTTTGCCTTTCTCGGTGGCTAGAATAACGCAGACTCAGGAGAAAACAACTCCTAAGCGCACATGCATTATTGAAAGAATCAATATCAGTGGTAGATCCAGACCTTGAGTTCAGGGGGGGGGGTTTGTGTGTGTGTATACACCTGCCGGCTTTTTCTCTGCAATTTTTTTTACCCGTAATGAGGGGGGCGGTCCCTCCGGGCCCTTCCCTTAGATCCGCCACTGGATACCCCTCGCTAGAATTGATGTTCTTTAATCCGACTCCGAGATCTCGGTATCGCCCCTATCAAATATAAGGTTTCGGCTTCGGCTTGTCCTTTCAGATTACTCCTCGGTGGATTCGCTTAAGATTCAAGAGGTCTGGACTAAACGAAAGCGTGTGTCGTTAATCGTAACGTTAACATTTATTGTTTACATTTATATGGTGAACGTCACCCTTTCATAGAAGTCCAGTGCTCGTGTGTTTCTCTGACTGACGAATTTATCAGGTATTCTTGGAGTGATCACATTCTTAACTGTTAGTAAATTTCTTTATTATAAAAAATTGGATCAATGATTGATGCGATTCAAGAGTTTCCATAGGCATAGCCATCATGGGTTATCGGCCATTATACCATGCTCTCTAAATATAGTAAGAGTACGCGTCGGCTCAAAAATTAAAACGGAGATAGAAACTTAATTTGTTTATCTATATTGTGGGGCGTCTTTGGTGAAGCAATTATTTCTCTCGCGTTTATTGGATATGAGATGATTGATAGCCAACGAGGCCCGTAGCTATCATCTCGTATCCAGCGCACGCACGTGGAATAGTTGTTTAAAATTTTTTCTGGAAATAAAGTCGGCATAGTATATTTAGAGTTGAAGTAAGGAAAATTAGTTAAGGATCATGTCGTAAAATGTTAGCAACTACCCTTAAAATTTTTTTCCGCATTTGTTAAAAAGAATAACAACGCTATTGTATATTGAATAATTTGTGAGTTGAAGTACACACTTGGCTTGATTTACAGTAAACATAGTGTTGTATCGTATTCAATACGAATATTGAAAAAACTGTTTTTGCTAGTAATGAACTGAGTAAATGTGCCCTTTTCATCCAAAGAGTGCATTCTACACCAGCAATGAAAACAAACTCTTATTTCTTGCATTTGTTTATACACTTGTTTCTCATTTTCTTGTCTGCCTCAAATGCATTGCAAAAGTAAATTGTACTACTTCCATTAAGTTTTCACAGAATAGAATGGTCAAGGTAGCTGGAAAAACTTGAAATGTCAAGACGTAACCAGAAAAAAAAAAGAAAACGAAGACTTGAACTTTCAATGCCACATCCGAATCCATGAAAATGTCATCTGTCCCTACCTTTTCTCCAAAGCCCCTCACAATTTGAGAGTGGCCCTCTAAATTTCACTTAGAATGCCTCCGTAGAGGTTGTGACCCGATATTGGACACTAGTATCCTATTGTGGACACTAATGACCGGCATAAAGCGCTAGTTTCTTATTTTGGAAATATTGCCCGATTTTGGACAATTATGTCCCATGTTCGACACTCATGTCCGATTCTGGACACTAGTGTCCTATTTGGATATCAATGTCTTAATTGGACACCAGCGTTCGATTTTGGACTAGGTGTCTGATTCTGGACACTTTTATCCGATTCTGGACATTGGTGTCCGATTCTTGACAATGGTGTCCTATTTTGGACACTATTGTCCGATTCTAAACACTTCTGTTCGATTCTGGACAGTAGTGTTCGATTTTGGAATCTATTATCTGCGTGTTGACACTAGTGTACAATATTAGACATGATTTTCCTTTTTTGATCAATATGTTAGGTCGAAACACTCTGACTGCTCCGAGAGATAATTTAATACAATTGTTTCTTTACTTTCGGCTATTCTCCTAGACCGTGGTTTAGTGCTTCTGCATATTTCGGAAAGAACTTGCTTGGATTCAGAATTAATCCTACGAATATTTTAGTTAACGAATGAATGAGCATAAGACGATGGATGACTCGACATTTCTCGCTGACAATAATTTGCTGAATATTGCCCTTCTCTGACAATTCTCTGTTGAGTGCTTCAGTCATGCCCCAACATGTACAGCCAACCTGATGTCGTACGTAATATTGCGTGAAAATTTCTATCGCCAACACTTTCGTTTTACTCAGTCCACTTCCAGTACTACATTGTAATCTGTCAGACCATAGAATGAACGAGTAAAAAAATCATTTTTTCACATTAAAATTATGAGCAATGATTTTTATAGAAGGATGAGTTAGTGTTAAAACACGTCATCGTTCGTCTGTTGATTTCCATCTACGTAAACATCAATTGACTAAGAGAGCTATAAGAGAAAGGGGCTTCCGCATCGAGAACTCATGGGTTTACCTCCTGCAGCGTAAAACGAGGAAGTAAATAACACTTGCTTCCGCAAATCGGCCGCCCAAGAAACGGACATAAAACTTTCATAAAAGAGATTAAAGAAGTCATAGAAAAGGTAGCGTCGAAATAAAGTTGCAATGGTTGTTACAGTGATAGGATTTGAACACTGGCACTTCTACCTTTTTTCCGACAAATCTTATGGAACAAAGGTAGCAGAGCTCAATTCCTCGGTTTCTTGGAAAACGTTTGACGTAAATCATTGCCTCCCATTTGTTTTTACGGTTTTATTGTCTGAAGCTGTGTTATGAGATAAAATTTTTCGTGTAATTAAAAGCTCACGTTTGGGAATTCGAAAATAAAGCAACAAACCGAAGACAAATAGTTTAGCACTAGAATTGCAATGATACTCAGCGCTCGGAAAACTGCGAATTTTTGAAGATTCGTATGTTTTTTTCCGGTCCTGGCTAAACAAAGCAATGGCATACAGGCTTGTTGCTTTCAATAAATAAATGTTCTATTCGTTGAAACTTTTCTTTTCTTAGCCACGGGTCTTGAATGGTCCATCTGGTCGCGTCTAATGTTATTATTGCTTTGTCACCTTGACAACGCGTCAATGCATGATGTCACAAAGAGGTCAATATATAACAAATATATTCCATATGATTGGTTGATTGATGCGCGGTGGCCAACTTGTGAAGTGGATTTTGAATAACAAAGACGAGGAGGGAAGTAACTTGCTAACTGAATCTTGTGATATATAGTTGCTTTGTTTGCCTGATGTAGCTCAAAATGTAGGATATTAACTTACCGTGTTCCAAAGCTCGTGAACTTGTCGAGTAAACTACCGAATTCCAACATGTTGAACTGTTTCGAAGTCCGAAGGAACGTTCGACTGGTTGTGGTTAGCTTGCAGCTGTTTTGCTCTTCATCTTTTACAACAAATATCTACTAAGTAAACTGAGAAGTCATCATGACAGACAAGGAGAAAGGGAAGGAAAGCTCTCATAACTTGATGGTAAGTAAATGTTAGCCCATAATTATAAGCGAAGCTACTCTGCAGTCTTGTAGCTTATGATACATGCAATGTATAATATACATGCAGCTTCATCTCTGCCAAAGTAAAGAGCCTTTGGCTTTCGGTGACTCGATCTTATCAAAACTTGTGCAGATGTTCGTGTTGATAGCTTATTTATCTTCTGTATGTTTTTTAATTTTCGAAGGTTGCTGTCAGAGTAAGGCCTTTGAATGGAGCCGAAGTTGAAGATGCAAGCTGCACCGAAATTGTGCATGTTTTGGACGAAAACGTACGTTTTTCTTGAATTGAACTGTGACAACACTAGTGATTTTTCATCACAATGAAACCATTCTGTTTGTATCAAAAAAGCATTGATAACTTTGGAAGAAAAGTTGGATTGAAAGCACGATATTTCTATTGTCACTTCTTGACAGTTTCGTTCAATCGGTAACATGATGCCTTACACACTCAGCGTGTTTGAAATTACAAATAAAAGGTTTTGTACCGAGCCTACTATATCTTAAGCTAGACGGGAGGAAGAAGGGTTGGATGACTCAAATGTCCTCAATATTTTCATAGCAATCATCATCATTGCAGTAAATGGTTTGAACCCGGGGGTAACATGTGAAGGTGTAGTCTGATCGTCCGGGTGAGTGTAGTCCTGAGAAGGACTGTTGTCGGTGGTAGTGACTGACGTTTCGACAACCTGTGCGGAAGTCATCATCAGAGTCATCACTTGACTTGTTTGTTATGGTCATTTTCATTAATGATATCATTGTTATAGGTATTACTGTTTGAAACTTGTGAGTTATTTTTACCATTTGATTATGATCATTTCAAATTGCCAATTTATTATTATTTTAATTTGTTGTGTAACTAGAGTACCTTAAGTGTTACAAATTTTTTTATGAAAATGTCTTTTGTCCTAATATAGCTGGTGGTGTTGAAAGATCCCAATGAAGATCAAGATGACATTCTCAGAGTAAACAGATCAAGAGAAAAGCAGTATATATTTGATTGTGCATTTGGTCAAAATTCAAATCAGGTTAGTTAGAGTTCCATATCAGCTATCAGCCCACCTACACTGTATATGTGAGTTCAAAGAGAAAGTTGATTTGCACCTTGTTTGATAAGTACAAAGCCAGAGTGGAGCCAAGGAGAAGTCAAGGTCATTCTTTGGTGGTTTTTTTTTTTCTTTCCCTAACGACATTTAGACAATTCCTTTGGAGAATTTGTTGAACAAATAAGAGCTTCTTAAGTTGGTGATCACGTACTTTATTCTCATTGCCATAATTTTTTATTCAGGTGCGATATTGTAAGGAGAAAGCAGATGCTAATCACACTTACGGGTCTGGTTAAATGATGGGTGTTTTGTTTCAAAATGAATAATTCTGTCTGTTTTCTTACCCACAATTAGCAACTTAGATCCCCCTTCACAATTACCTTTTTTCACTTACACCTATTTATGATTACAAACTGGACTGGTCTCCACTCTCCCATGTTGCTATTATGAATAACTTTGATAAATTGAAATACATTACAATGTTTTTCTTTCAAGGCTGATGTATACAAGGAAGTGGCAAAACCTTTGATTGAAAATGTCATCTCAGGATATAATGCTACAGTGTTTGCTTATGGTGCCACAGGTATGATAAGCTGAACATGTTCAGTATACATGTGTTAGAAATAATCTGATGGCAACACAGGGACCAAAATCGGGCTGGTACAAGTGGACCAATTTCTTGTGAAAAATATCAAAGGAAAATATGGGAACAAAACATGGGATCATCTGTGGTCTCAGAAAATTTGACCCCATGACTCCGCTTCTGAGAGAACTGCACTGGCCACCTATTAAATCTCAGCTATATCTCCATGACGCCATACTTGCTTTTAAATGTATGATGGGCTCCGCTCCTACTTATCTCTCCTCGAAGTTTCTAACACGTGGTGAGATAAGTGGTCGCACGACCAGAAGCTCCCAACCTTTGCATATACCCCTATATAGAACTAAATCTGGACAAAGGACTTTCTTTTATCGTACAGTAAGTCCATGGAACAGTTTAGATAATACCCTCAAACTTTGTAATTCTTCTCGGGATTTTAAGCGTAAACTTAGAGCCAAATTACTTGCTGCTTTCCTTTCTCATTGCTCTTAGTTGTAACTTTGGCGAACATTTATCAACATTTTAGCTTCCTGAATTTTTCTATTATTAACAATTGGCTCATGCTTTAGCATGCACTATCGAGTTATGGAGCACGCGGGAAGTTTGGAGAGCACAAAAGAAGCGTAAGAGTTGCCAGAGGCGATAGCCTTGGGCAACTCTAGCTTCTTGAGTGCTCTCCAAACTTCCCATCTGCTCCATAACTCGATAGTGCACAGCTGAAAGCATGAACCAATTGTTTTAGAACATAGCTGGTGGAATTGTGCATCAAATCCGACGTGAAAAATGGACAACAACGTTAGTTGAAGCGAATTCTGACGGCGCGGATGCCGAGTCTCCTTTTCCATTGTTTTCCCTTGTTCTGCCTCATTTAAGAACTCTAACCCAAGGGACAAGGTCGAAACATTGTCTTTGTTTTCGGACAAGTAGGCCGAGTCTCTGTTTGTATCCATTATTGTCGCAAAATATATTATTTTTCCCAGCACTAACAATGGCCGCTCGCCCAAAAAAAAAATTCTGGCAAAGCAATTTGTTGACGCTATCAGCGTGCATTATCGGGATTTTGAGCATGCGTAGGTATATTGAATTTGATTGCGCGGTTCTGCTAGCTATGTTCTAATACTTTTTAGTATGTAACTGTAATTTTGTCATTTTTAGATCATTGTCACCGAAAAACCCTCTTTAGGGAGTGTCAATAAAGTTTGTATTTTATTGTATTGTAACAATTGCTGTCATTCATGTTGCAATTGATTAAAAATTGAACTTTTTACGGAAATTTGTAAAAGGAAACAAAGGGAGGCAAAAGGAAAACTTTAGACTTTTTGATGACATTCAGTTTATTTACTTAACATGTTATTCTGTCAAAATGTACAATTAGCTCTATGAATAAGCTATATGATAGAATGTTTTTAAAAAACTGTGAGGTACTTACTTTAATGGTTATTTAATAAGGACCTTAAAAAACCATGACGGCGACGCCAAGGAAGACTTTGATTAAAAAATGAATTTCTACTCTTAGTTAGAATTTCAAAAGTGGCTGCAGGAGCTTACTGTCTCATACAGCGCCACGGCTCAACTTCAGCATGATGTATAAAGTAGCCGTTGAGTTCCAAATGGAAGTTAAAATAATTTGCCATCGCGGTTTCGGTTCACAGGCAATGCAAATTTTGGCGATTTCACGTTGTCGTTTTGCATAGGACGGCTAAGAAATGTACAGAGTTTCAAAATGCACGTGCTGAGCTACTGTTCTGCCAATTAGATCTCTTGTTTTTCTACGTCCTCATTGCCGTTGCAGTCGTGGTTTCTTAAGGTCCCTAATAACTCCTGTAAGACAACATAGCCCTACCATACTATGAAACACTGTGGTGGGCACAGCATAGAACATTTAACTGCTGTGTTTCTGATGGGTAGTGGCAGCCTTGGTAACAGTGAACATATTCTAAAGGTGATGTTTTCACTTTTCTTAGGAGCAGGGAAAACGTTCACCATGTTGGGTACTGATAGAGAGCCTGGTATTATGGCACGTGCCTTGAATGATCTCTTCTTTGCAATGGACAAGACTAAGGAAGATATGAAATACAAAGTGTCAATGTCATACTTTGAAGTAAGGATAAAATATATATTAAATAAATTTTTTATTTGGTTTTTCAATTCTTTATTTTTGTCTTTTTGATAGGCTGAAAAATTATATTCGGGCAGTCTGGACAAAACTTTGAGAATAGGTTATGAAGCTAACTAAAGGTAAAAGGTTTGGCAGAGACAACACGGACATAAGTGAAAATAATACAACTTTCTCTCCCTAAGTCATGGTCTTATTGAGCAGGTCTTTGTAATGATACTTCCATTGTTCTCAATTAGTATTAATAAAAATATTTCATTCACATTTGCAGATGTGATGTTATTTTGATTCACATTTCTTTATCTTAAGGGTTAATAGTAGTGACCACACTCTTTTTCCTGTAGATCTACAATGAAATGATCCGTGATTTGTTGAACCCATCATCTGGTTTTCTTGAACTTCGTGAAGACAGCAAAGGAGTAGTAGTGGCTGGTATCTCAGAAGTTCAAGCCAAGAAAACAAGTGAGGTAATTAAGCACTGTTCCATGGTTTCCCTGTATGTGATGTTTTAACCTCGCTTCATGCACACTTAACTGTTGCTGAAAAGTGATTATCTAATGGTGTGCTTTACTTGTCACCACATCTCCCTTTTGATTTTACCTGACCCTGAGAAACATGAAGATTTCAGTATTTTTCCCTGAATCTCTAATTAAAAGTCTTTTTAGTGTCATTTATTTATTATTTTTATCCCTCAAATGTAGGTTATGGATTTACTTATGATGGGAAACAAACAAAGAACAAGTGAACCTACTGCTGCCAACAAAACCTCTTCAAGATCTCATGCCATCCTCCAGGTAGGGATCAAGATATTTTACATTGTAACACACTAAATTTAAATTGTTTTTCTATATGAAAAGGCTCATGTAGACAAGTTTGCACATTTATACCAGTTTTGCAAATAAAAGTTTTATGTAAAATATTGTTCTTCACCAGTTAAGTCATGCATTAAGCATGAAACAATTCTGTATGTTCCATTCTGTTTGAGATTTTATTTCCAGATAAAGTGTTATTTTGTTGTCAACATTTCAAAGGTAACAGTCACTCAGAAGAGTCGTGTAAAGAACACCATTGATGAATTCAGAGTGGGGAAACTTTTCATGATTGATTTGGCTGGATCTGAGCGGGCTGCACAGACAAAGGTACTCAGGCTTTCAGTTTAGACTATAACGAATAATGTCAATGTGAAATACCATCAATATTTCTTGTATTGCTAGTATGGAGAATTTCCTGTAGTTTGATTTTCTGAAGTTTTTGGTTTTCACATTTTAACAAGGAAAATTATTCTTTTTCTTTCCAGAATCGTGGTAAGAGAATGATAGAAGGCGCACATATCAACCGTTCCTTGCTTGCTTTGGGAAACTGCATCAATGCTCTGAGTAAGTAATGGAGCAAATGAAGACAAGCTAATGTACATACTAACAAGCTTCTTTTGGGCTTGTTTTTGAAGCACATTTTTAAAAGTTACATGTCTGTGTGTGCTTTTTTAGCATGCTTTTTGCATGCATTTTGAGCCAAGTACCTCTGAGCTGTACTATAGTTGTTAGCTTGTGTAGCATGCACCTAGCAAAGATGCCAATTTGAGGGAGAGCAGAGGTGTGCTTTGACCTTGCCTCTCTTCTCTGCATTGCTTCCTCCTTGCCACTTGTTTTTTGCTTTTACTTGTCTGCTACACTGGCTATAGTATATACATTGTACATATGCACCCTTGAATGAAGCTTTTTCCTGTGGATATTGTTTGTTCTCCCTTTCTTTGATTTTTATATTTTTTGCATTGTATTCTTTGAAAATTAATGCTACCAATTCTAAGATCTGCACAGGTTTGCAGGTTGAACAACCAGGAAGTTCCATATTTACTATTTGTCTAATTATAATAATTTTTGAAATAATGAATGTTGTCTCGCCTCTCTTCATCACACGCCAGGTGAAAATCGAGGGCATTATGTCAACTACAGAGATAGCAAACTGACCAGACTTTTAAAGGTATAGTACATAAAATCTTTTCGCTGCCAGTGGAATGGTTAAAACCTGTTGAAACAGTCTGACAGTCCTAATATATTTTAATTTTGTCTCTGCATGTAGGATTCTTTGGGCGGTAACTGTCGCACAGTGATGATTGCCCATGCAAGTCCTGCAAGTGGATCATATGAGGAAACTCGTAACACACTCCTGTATGCAGATAGGGCTAAGAACATAAAAACTAATGTAAGTATAGAATGTTGTGAAATGCAATGAAGTTATACAGGGGCCTAGGTTCCGGGGCCAAGTTTGATTCAAATGTCAGAGGTATTTTACTGCTTTTCTTGAAAACACTCTATCATGGGTTCAAATATCTCATAAACTCATTTCGACATATCTGTTCAATCGACAGGTGAAGCCAAATCAGTTCAGCGTATCGTACCACATTGCACAGTACACCAACATCATTGCTGATTTGAGAAAAGAAATATTTCGTCTCAAACTCAAAATCTCTGAACATGATGGGGACAACAGTACTGAAAGCTCAAGTAAGTAGCTGTACCGGAATTGTGAAGGTGTAGTCTGATCGTCCGGGTGAGTGTAGTCCTGAGAAGGACTGTTGTCGGTGGTAGTGACTGACGTTTCGACAACCTGTGCGGAAGTCATCATCAGAGTCAAGTGAATGATTGTTGTCAGTAGAATGTTCTTATTCCAGTTCGTGTGAAATGATCGGTTGGTTTTGCCGTGATGTTATTGGCTGTAAGACTCAAGTGACGTAAGTCGGTCGTGATTGGTCTGTTTCGATCTGTCGGTAAAGTTAGGTCGTTCTTTTTCAGTCGTTTGTGATGTTTATGTCGTGAATGAGTCGTTTGTATGGAGCGGGTAGTTGTTGACATCTGTTTAGGGGAGTCTGTTCTAAGTTAGTAAACCAGCTTTCTAGAGTCAGTCGTTGAAAATAGTCAGTGCTGTAGGTTAGGCATTGCGCAGAGTCCCAGTCAATGTTGTGGTTGGTAAGTCGATGGTGTTCAGCAATGTGATTGCTGACATCACCTTTCCTCGTCGCCCGTCTGTGTTCAGTCAGTCTTGTTGTGAGGTTTCTGTCAGTCTCACCGATGTAGAAGGCTTGGCAGTCGGAACAATTGATGTTATAAATTGTTCCCTGTCTGTTCCTCGGTTCGTCTTTGTCTTTAATGTTGGTTAGTAACTGACGTAGTGTGGTGATGGGTTTGTGGGCGACGGGGATATTGAAGGGTAGTACTGCCATGGGGTTTCCAGTTTCTGTTGTTATAGCAGAAATTGTGATGCAGAACATCGAGGAACGCGCCCTTTCGACTTGCCGACAAACGATACCGCTTTGGTTACGTTACGTTGACGACACCTTCACCGCCGTTCGACACGACGAAATTGACGCATTCCACCGCCACCTTAATGAACAAAACACTGACATACAGTTTACCAAAGAAGTCGAAGAAAATGGCAAGCTTCCATTTCTAGACTGCCTGGTAAGCCACAACGACAACTCATTACGGACGACAGTTTACAGGAAACCGACACACACCGACAGATTACTAGACGAGTCATCCTACAACCCTACATCACACAAAGCCACAACTATCAGAACTCTAACACGAGGCGCACAACTAGTATGCGACTCGACAGACAGCTTATCCGACGAGAACAAATACCTTCACCGTGTTTTTACGAAGAACAGCTACAACAACGACTTCATCCGACGAAACACTCACCGACCCGCTACCGAAACAAACGACACCGCAACCCCTACGACTACAGCAACCATACCGTACCTAAAAGGCATGTCTGAAAACATCTCGCGCATCTTACTACCCTTCAATATCCCCGTCGCCCACAAACCCATCACCACACTACGTCAGTTACTAACCAACATTAAAGACAAAGACGAACCGAGGAACAGACAGGGAACGATTTATAACATCAATTGTTCCGACTGCCAAGCCTCCTACATCGGTGAGACTGGCAGAAACCTCACAACAAGACTGCCTGAACACAGACGGGCGACGAGGAAAGGTGATGTCAGCAATCACATTGCTGAACACCATCGACTTACCAACCACAACATTGACTGGGACTCTGCGCAATGCCTAACCTACAGCACTGACTATTTTCAACGACTGACTCTGGAAAGCTGGTTTACTAACTTAGAACAGACTCCCCTAAACAGATGTCAACAACTACCCGCTCCATACAAACGACTCATTCACGACATAAACATCACAAACGACCGAAAAAGAACGACCTAACTTTACCGACAGATCGAAACAGACCAATCACGACCGACTTACGTCACTTGAGTCTTACAGCCAATAACATCACGGCAAAACCAACCGATCGTTTCACACGAACTGGAATAAGAACATTCTACTGACAACAATCATTCACTTGACTCTGATGATGACTTCCGCACAGGTTGTCGAAACGTCAGTCACTACCACCGACAACAGTCCTTCTCAGGACTACACTCACCCGGACGATCAGACTACACCTTCACATGTTACCCCCGGGTTCAAACCATTTACTGTACCGGAATTGTAAGAAGTGACGTGTCAACCTAACCTACTGGTTCATTGGTCTGTAAAATATCTTATTAATAGCAGCAGGTGTTTTGCTCACTTTTTTATTGAAATATTTTAAGTGGGATTCCTATTTATAAGTCACCATAAACATTTTGGAAAAGCCTGTGGCTGGCTCATAGGTGCGTACTTTGAAGCGTTGTGCGACAAAACTACGAGAGGCTTGGGCCGGAAAAATTAAACCTTTGCTGCTCATTTTTGCCGCTCTGTCGCCGTTAATTTTATGAAACGCCCCAAGATCCGTCGGCTACGGAGGCTAATTTAAAAAAAAAATGCGTCGCACTCTACGAAAAAAAGGCGGGATTCATATTTTATTTCTTTCTTGTAACCCTTGATTGCCTACCCCCTTACAATGGCCTCCTTCCTTTGTCTACTGTCCAAGAGATAGCATTCAGAATGGAGGGGTTCTAATGTACTTGAATATTGGTAAGGAACATTTCAAAACTTCAAAACTTCACCTTTGACAAATAATTATAATGTTATTTCCAAATTACTGATTTAGGTAAGGCAAACTGACCTATATTCCCTTGTTCTATTTTTGCAGAGCAACAAAAAGACAAAAATCCGGAAGAGATGAATAAGTTGCGAGACCAACTTGTCGGTACGTTTAAAGAACAGATGGATATCAGGTTAGGAAAAACGATTTGGAACAAATTTCATAACACGTATGAATTGCGGACGTATTCATATTACGTTTCGTCGAATACCCCTTGTGCAATGGTAGTTAAATTATCAGTAGCAGTAATATTTGCCTATTAGTTTGTATATTCATGGTTGACTGTTTTTGACTTATTGTAATAACAAGCCAGTAACTTTGTGATTAGAGACTATTTATAAACTAAACTTCTAGTATGTGCCGTGCTTGTCCGGCTGAAAATCTCTTTGCTGTTCCTCATTTCAGGCGCAGGTTGATAGAACTTGAGGACACTGCCATGCAGATCTCACTTGACATGAACCGCTACATGTTGGTGATAGATGAGTAAGTGCACATCAAATGAAAAGATGAGTGGGTTATTATTATGGACACAAATATGCAATGTTTTCGATGATATTTTGAAGAATTCTTAGTGAGACTTAAAAATAAGTGGGAAACCCCAAATTTTGGTTTTAAAAAATAGAGAAGTCCCCTCCCCCCAAAAAAAAACCGTCATATTTTATTTACAAGTCTTGTAATCTTCAGGGAAGCTTGACCTGACAGCCTTCCTTTCGCGTAAGTTAAGATAGGGAACCGCTGTATAACTAAACCACGCACGCAGAACTGGAGTAAGAGCTATTCGTTATCGCTTAAATTTCACGGTTTCTTTACAGATGGGAACAGGAGAAGGCCAGGAGAGGCGTACGTAAAACTACCAGAAATTCATCAGGGAAAACTAACGACTCTGAGTTGAAGAGCGACTTAGGAACTGCGACTTCTTTCGAAAATGAAAACAGAGAGAAAATCGACGGGACTTCAGCTTCCGCAGAAGACAAAAACGTCCTTGACGAAAACCTCCGCGAAGAAACAACACTGTCCAATATCGAGAGTGTGGAAGACGTTGAAAGCAAAGACATGGACACCGAAAAGGTTAAGACGTCTGAAGCACGCGAAGGTGCAGAAATCGCAGAGCCTGACGAAGTATCTTTTGCACGAGAGGAGATTACAACACTGATTGCAGAGGAAAAACGCACGTCAAATCTCAAAGTAGATCTTCAGGGAAAGCTTCAGCAGACACGAAAGGAGGTTGAAGCTTTGGAAGAACTGTTACCCAAGAAGATAAGCAGCGAAGAGAATCGAGAAATCTTGGGTCTGCTGTGCAAGGTTCACGAGCTGGAAATTACAAATGCTGAGCTTCAGTCGAACTCGTTACTCAGGGAGAACTTGTTACGACAGAAAGACTTGGAGATGAACAAGTATGATTCACGGCAACGGTTATGTGATGAAATTATTCAAATGCAGAGAGCTGTTATTAATGGTAAGCTTACAGAAAATGGTAACATGGTGCTTTTCAATCGGGCAGCCTAAAATCACAGCAATTCATCAGAACAAAGGAAAATGATCATTCAGCAATTTAAACTTAAAACAAATTTCTCTCTTTGTATCCGTTAGATTCTGGAGCAAAATGTTCCACAGAGCTCGAGGCACTTTATGATGTTTACATGGAGCAATCAACTTACTCTGAACAACGCGAGGACAGTTCAAACGCACAAGAGAACGGAGAAAGCTCTTTGAACACGTTACAAAAGGTAAACCTCATCTGATCGACAACACTTCCGGCATTCGTTAATCTTCTTACTGATAGGCTTGGGAACTAGTACCTGAAAACTAGCGGGGTAGACGTTAGGCAATCCAATCATGGCACTGTGGTATCTACAGCAACCCCGTAAGTAGAAAGCACTCCGGGGGCCCGTTTCTCGAAGGTCCCAGTAACTTAACGGCCCGCAAAGCTGTTCAGTTTTCATTTTAGAAGGGAGTTTCAAAAGTTTTGAAAATTATGAAATACAACTGTCAGCTAAGTAAACAAAATGGACTGGTAAGGGTGCCAGAACCCTCATCTCTATTCTTTTAAATATGGCTTCGTTAAGTTAGCGGGACTTTCGAGAAACGGGCCCAAGCACCGTCACACTAAACCTGGACTTATCTAGCCCTAAGACGCGAGAGACCTAGTCATCCACATCAGAAGAATATTTTTCATCCACATTTCAGTCTACCTGAATAGTGTATTTTAATTTTGTAGTGTTGTTGTTTATATCTCAGGCTTCACTTCTTGCCGGGATTAATCGCCGAATGATGCCCTTAGCAAGAGAGAAGTTATGTAAGTATTATATGCATTCTTCTAAACGCTGTTTCACCGGACTACAGAAATTACTTTTAGAGGTGCTGTGTGACCTTCCTTGGATGATTAGCCCGTAAATGTTTGACGTATGGTTAAATTGTGCGGGTCCAGCTGCTGTAAATCTAGTGTTTCAAGCAGTTCTATATTGACCGTAGTTCTTTGAATAGTTGTCGATTCCGGAACAGCACTCTCAAGAGGTGCTGGTTTGGCAAGCGAAGTTTCGTAACGAAGGCTCAAGCTACTCGAGAAGAAGCTCAGACACTTTCTAGCAAAGCTTCCGTTGTTAGCTAAGGGTGAACTAAGTGACCTTCACTTTGTCTTTAACAGTCACATTCAGTAAGCTGTCACCTTTGAGTGAGGAGACACCTTCTCGTGTGATGTCACTTCAGAACTCACCCGTGAAGATGTCACGGGCCACACCTTCTGCTCGCACACAGATTTCAGATGGCGTGTTTACAAGGGAAACCAGGTAATTTACACCTCTGTGTCGAGGAAGCTTCTGGAATTTGTATAATGATGCACGTTATTTATAGACGCTTAAATTTGTTCATATAGTTCTCCAATTCCTCTGCCCACACCTAAGAAAACGAAAAAGCTTCTGAGCCTTACTGACGACGGTGAAAGTATACGCAGTTCACCTACGGTGTCGTCTGTAATGGGAGACTTGCACGAAGAAGTGAAGCCCGCTACTCCAGCAAGCCCCGTGTTTGCCCGAACGAGAAAAATTGCTGAGATCGCTGCGCGCCGTCGAGGCGGCCTGGACAAGAGTATTAGAACTAGCAATAGTAGACTGGAACCTGGTAGAGAGCTCCCTACAAAGTCTAGTTCTGTCACGGACATGCGCGAGCCCGACCAAGCTTCCGAAAGTCGAAGTGTTCAGAGGAACAAAAGACTCCCGGTGAAGGCTTCGCTTAGTATGAGTGATTTGTCTGTAATTGACAAAAGGATCGGAGACGTCTCATATGAAGAAGCGCCACCAGGGGACAAACCGAAGGGGGCCGTGAGGAACAAGGTCAAAAATGCCTCTCAAAGGAAGCCCAGGAGATTACGTTCCGCATCGTTAGATGAATCTAAAGTGGTGAGAGGTGAGTTTTGTGGGGTCATAACTACTCATTCCTGTAAAGAACGGGGATTATGACGTATGCATGTTTACATATGTTTGGGTAACTCCCTGTTGACACAAATAATCCCAACAGAATGCAGAACGTTTGTAATTTCAGGACTATCTTTCTAAGAATTCGCTGAGGCTTAGCGGTGGAGTATTCCATTGTTAATACGCAGGGTCACAGGTTGGATGTCTCAAAGGGCTGAGGTGTTTTAATTTATTCTGTCTTTAACCTTTTTCGGACAAAATTTCATTGAATTTTGAAAAGAAATTCCCACGCATCATTTATTTCGGCCGCCGTGTGATGCCATGCTAGTAAGGACCAAAGGGTAGATTTCTAGTTTGGGTAAAAATATTCCATATCCTGTTCAATAGAGAAGCTTAGGATGCTAATTCCATGTGCTGTGACTTAAACTTTCGTCCAGTGAAACCTCGGCGCACTCGTAAAGAAGAGTTACAAGAAGCGGCTCGACAGAAAGTGGCCGCCGCATTGGCGCAGTCAAATACAAGAAGCAGAATGTATGGGGGGCATGGCACAGAAGGACGCAAAGCCGTCAGGACACGACGATCCAGAGGAACGAGTCTTTCCAAGCCTGTCTCAGATACAGAAAGTGGAAAACCAATAGGGAAACCTTCTGTTTCTGCCGCCAGCAATCCACAAGATGGTAAATATTTTGTCCGAATTATAATGATCTCCTATTTTATGGTTTCTCCCTCTCGCTTTCTACGTACTAAGGCCCTACTTCCCTTTGTCTTACACTCAAAGAAACGGCTCTGAAAAGAACTTATTTATTCATTGGTTATGATTTGGATATATCAACAAAGTTGAAATGGTAAATTGGCCACCGTGACGATTACAAAAGCTGACGTTTCGAGCGTTAGCTCTTCGTCGGAGCTCCGACGAAGGGCTAACGCTCGAAACGTCAGCTTTTGTAATCGTTACGGTGGCCAATTTACCATTTCAACTTTGTTGATATATCCAAATTATTTCGTTACTCCCACCCACGCAGCCCCAAACAGTTTCTTTCGAAACTATCAGCCTTTATTCATCGGTTACTTCGCTTCTCTACATAATCTTCGTTTTCGCCTTCCCGCTTTACCTTCTTCCGGTATTTTATAATGAACATTTAATATTGAACTGCTCTTTGTGAACTTTTTTCTTTTATTATGATTCCTAGGAGAGGTGCAGACATTCTGGACGAATGTGACTCCGCCGTCCACTGTCCATCAGTATGGAGTTATTTATGGTAAAGGGCACACCATCCAAAAAAGATACCGTGTTCCTCCAGAGATCAGTGGAACGGATTCGAGCCAATCCACTCCGAAGCGTAAACCAAGGAAAAAGCCGCCGAATACCGGTACAAGATCCGTCGACGAACTATCAGTGAGTGGTATTGCCGTGCGTCCCTCAAAACAGGCTGCAAGCGTGCGCAGAAGTTAGTTAAAGCTGTCACTGATGGTCCTGTCCTAAATATTTCAAGAAAAGAACACGTAGAAGTTATAGTGGATGTCAATACTCAGTAGACCTTCTACTTGCCTTTTCTATAGCAATTAGATCTTAGAGCTCTAGAAGCCAAAAATGAACTCGATGTACATGTACCCACAGAGGTAGTGTAACAACGTAAGACAACCTTTCTCCTCTGATAAAATATCGCTTGATCAGTTGAGCTGTACAGTGTAATGACAATAAGCAAGTTCGGTTTTTATGGACACTGCATATTTAATATTGAAGACAAGACAAGAGTGACTTGTTGACAGTTAATATGTACATAGCAGGATCCAATATTTATTTATGCAGGTTTTATTTTGGATCTTGAAAAGGAAATGTAAAGCTATTTAGTAACATGTATAGTTTGATACGTTTTTAAATACAATACGTTTTTCCACAATTGTCAATAAAAATAAACTGAGCGGTTACTAAAATAGACCCATGACTCTATCTGTTTCTTTCAATCATCTTTACCCTCGTAATAAAAAAGACTGGTCCCACAATTGTTGTAAATGGACATATTAGCCTGTGGAGGGTTAAAACAAATTAGAGGGCTGTTAAATAAAGTAACTTGAGCTACGCTTTAAGGTTTGGATAAATCTTGATTTTATTTTTTTTGGTTCTGGATAGAAGTATGGTACTGTATAACATCCTATGCTGTAGCCGAGATATGCGTCGTGCTTGGAAAAAAGCGCGCGAAAAACCCATTGCCAGCCGCGTTGAAAAGGCGGGAAATCCTCCTTCATTTTGCTTTGTCCGCGTTTCGCTTTGCTTGCCTGACAAAGGAAAAGGAATGATTTTGAAAATAGGTAATGTTATGTCGCTACCCGGCTGTTTACATCGATGAAGAAGATTTATGAAGTACTAATCAATTTTCTTCTGACGAGGTGAGTGTGAGACACTGTTTGTTCAATGCTGTTTAGGTATTTGTCGGAGAAGGATGGATGTAAAGACGAGTCTCGCTTATGAAACTGAGTTAACTTAAGTTTTATTTTTCTAAAGAGTGGAATTATATCGAAGTATACCTATATATCTATCTATCTACAAGAAATCCAAACACCCACTGTCCATAATTGACAACATTCCATAATCTATGAATAAACGTTTGTCAGAGATTTCATACGATGAAGAATCCTGTAACAAAGCAGCGCCGCTCTACCAGAATGACTTCAACAACAGCGGATACAAGCATAAACTTACGTTTTCACCCCAAACCTCTACCCATCCTCCAAATCAAATCGAAAGAGGAAAATAATTTGGTACAATCCACCGTATAGTAGAAATGTAGAAACCAACATAGGACGTGTATTTCTAAGGATACTTGACGAGGAATTCCCCAAGAACAATGTGTTGCACAAGATCTTCAACTGCAACACAGTAAAGATCAGCTATTGCTGTATGCCCAACCTCAAGCAAACCATCGACAGCCACAACAAATCGGTCTTAAACAATAAAGCCAAACCAACCAAAGCATGCAACTGTAGAAACCCAGCTGAGTGTCCCATGGGTAGAAATTGCCACAAAGAATCGGTTGTCTACCAAGCGACTGTAACAACCGAAGACAACAACCCCGCCAAAACCTATGTGGGCCTCACAGAAAACTCCTTCATAATAAGATATGCCAACCACAAAGCTTCATTCAACCACCCTAACAAAAGACACAGCACTGAACTAAGTAAACACGTCTGGAACTTAAAAGACAAGAACATAGATTACACGATTTCTTGGAAGATTTTAAAGCACGCCGTTCCATACAACCCTGCCTCAAATCGCTGTAACTTATGCCTCTGGGAGAAGTACTTTATAATTTGCAAACCCGATTTAGCCTCTCTTAACAGACGAAATGAACTGTGACCTCGTGTAGACATTCTAAAAAATTCCTCCTGAAAAATTTCAACACCTGCCTTGTCACGCAGTAGTGTCTGTGTTTATTTATTTTTAGCCCTTACCTTTATTGCGCGCCCGTTATGTAAAGAGTCCATATACAGTAGCTATCACCTTATTTCAAATCAGTGTACGTTATTTCAAATGAGTGTACGTTGTAAGTTCGCATTTGGCAAATATATCCGATGAGTGCTACAGAAGCTGTGTGGTACGAAACTAAATAGTAATAAATGCCAAGTCAAATCTTCAGTTGACCTCTTCCACCTCTATTATAAGCGCGCTCTAGGTTACTATTGAGCACTCCGAAAGCATTTCTGCAGATCAATTCTCTCTCTCTCTCTCTCTCTCTCTCTCTCTCTCTCTCTCTCTCTCTCTCTCTCTCTCTATCAATATTTTATTAACATTTTTTATATTTTTTACGTCAGAAGTTCCATCCTCGCAGTTTTTTAAACTTTATATATATACATATATATATATATATAACCAAAATAGCGGAATGAGATCATCTACTAAAAAGTGCTCAATAGCAGGGCTAGAGCTATGGATAATTATACCTCAAGATTTAGGTTACTTGAACTTTTACTGCAACTCTGAGTTTCATGCCTCTTGCGAAGCAATCGTCAGGCAACTGCCAGAAATAACGGTTACAATCCACCGAAATTTAAAAGACAGAACAATGTGTACATGCGCGCGCAACATACTGCACGCGCTATCGTAACGTTAGGTTCTTTAACAGGAATTTCCTGACATGTCTGCAACCTGATGTCAGCTCATTTCTTTTGTTTAAACTTGCCATCACGCCAATCGCTGGAATAAAAGGTTCTAGCACTGTGGTCAGGGAGAGAATCGAAATTCCTCCCCACCCGGTCAACGAGGGTCAGTGCAGCGCGGTAAATAGGGGGTTGGTTATCCCCTAAGTGCTTGGGGACGTTATTGGAGCGGAGAAACGCCCAGCTTTTATTTTTGTGGCTCATCGGAAAGCCGACCTAATATCGGGCAAAATAGACCCATTTAGCGGTGTAAGTCACGTCGCCCACCGAAGGAATCCACCGGAGTTTAAGGCTCGCGCTTTTTGGAGGGGATGTACTACGGACAACCCTCCCTGTTGCCAGGGGGAGCCGGCATGTGTCGCGTTTGACCAGTTCGGCCTTACCGTTCCAGAGGAACTCCCAAATAGCTTTGGTGATGCGGGTGTGAACCCACTCAGGCATTTTTACCACTGTGGCAGTGTACCAGAGGTCCGAAGCTCCCAGCGTGTTAGCGATCATAGCTTTGCCTTTAAGGGACAGGGTCCTAGTGCGCCAGATGTTAAGGCGGGTTTCGAGTTTTGCAACCCGATCTGCCCAGTTAGCCTGGTCCAGATTAGTGTTACCAAGATAGACTCCGAGGATTTTAAGCTTATCGGCCACCCAGGTGATGTTAACGGGGCCAGTTGTTCTACCGGCTTGGGAGCCTATCCATAAACCCTCGGTCTTCTTGGGGTTAAGCCTCGAGCCAGAGCCTCGCTCGAAGGAGTTAATTGATTTAAAAGCGCGGGTGACAGAGTAATCGTTAGCCAATATTAAAGTCGTGTCATCACGACACTTTGCAGGTTTTGTTAGGGGAGCCCGGGAGGGGAATGCCGTCAATGTTGGGATCCCGTCGAATTGCCTGCCCTAAAGTCTCCACAATAAGGCAGTACAATAGCGGGGAAAGTGGGCAGCCGTGCCTCACCCCTCTTTTGAGGGGAAAAGACGAGGAAAGCCAGCCATTGTTAATTACCCGAGAGGTGATGTTCGTGTAAATCACCCGAACCCAACGTCGAAAGTTGGGCCCGAAATGAAACCGCTCGAGAACGCGCTAGAGGAAAGAAAGGTTAACGCGATCGAAAGCCTTCTCTGGGTCAAGGCTTATAACAGCCGCTGAAAGCTGCTTATGCCTCGCGAAGTCAATCGTGTCGCGTAACAGAAAAAGATTTTCGAAAATACTGCGCCCGGGGACGCCGCAGGTTTGGTCCTCGTTGAGGATATTGGGCAGAACGTTTCTTATCCGATTGGCCAAAGCTTTGGTCGCAATCTTATAATCGAGGTTCAAAAGCGAAATTGGGCGCCAATTTTTTAGCGATAATGTGTCGTCTTTTTTATACAACAAACGCAGGATACCCTGCCGTTGCGTTGCTGAGAGAAAACCCTCACGGAAGGAAAAGTTGAGCGTGTTGACAAGGTCGTGCCCAATAGATCCCCATAACCGGGAGTAGAATTCGGCCGGAAGGACGCCCGCTCCCGGCGATTTACCAGATTCCATTTTGGAGAGCGCAGCGTGACACTCGTCCTGTGTCAGCTCGCCTTCACAGAGTTTTTGATCTTCAGATGTCAGAGTGGAATCGAGCTGCTCTAGGAGCCAATCCTGGTTCGCTCGATCGACCCGTTGCTCAGCGCACAACTCCCTATAAAAGGCTCTGCATTCTCGGAGAATGCCCCGGGAGGTTGTAACGGTTGTGTTGGGAGTCACGTGTAATTCAGCGATCGTATTACGCGACTGGCGGGACTGTTCAAGCTGGTAAAAATACCTCGTAGGTTTTTCCCCCTGCTCGGTCCACCGTTCTTTGCTCCGGAGAATACACCCAGAAATCGCTTCGTCGTCAATTGCTCTCAAGCGGTCTTTGATCTCTAGCAATTGCAGACAGTGATCGGCATTGTTCAGATCTGCCTGCGCCTGTAAATCGCGAAATTCCCTCTCAAGAGCGGCTCGCTCGCGTCGGCGAGTGTTTCCGGCGGTCACGCTATGAGATATGGCAATCTCTTTTAGTTGTAACTTGCCCGCGTCCTACCAGACCCTAGGGTCGGTGGAAAGGGGCTTTTGACACTGCCATTGAGGCCAGAAATTTTCCATGTCGGCACAGAACTCGTCTGATTTTAACAGCCGCGTGTTAAATTTCCATAGACCTCGACCCCGGGGATTTGAATGCCCCAAATGTACTTTAATTGACACCATGCGGTGATCCGAACACGGAAAATATGCGCTGTTGTGGTCACGCACTTCCGAACTCCACGCTCGAGGAGTATAAAATCTGTCCAAACGACAACCGACCGAGTGTGGGCCATTAAACCAGGTAAATTCCCGCGCAGCTGGTTGTTTGGCCCGAAAAACATCCTCGAGGGCGAGAGAATCCACAATTGCGTTTAACTGCGGAATCCCCCGATCCCCGAGGCTGTCATCGCCACCCCATTTATCTAACCGGATGTCTGGCATACAGTTGAAATCACCTGTCCAAATGTGGTCATCAGTGCGGTCGACATAACGCCACAAGTTGTTAAAAATGTCTCGCGATCAGAGGGATTATTTGGAGCGTAGACATTTATAATTTGAAGAGTATTATTGTGCGATTTGGCATTCGCAGAGAGAACACGGCCGTCCGTGTCGATAGAAAATTTAGTAATTTCAACTGTGCTCTGGGGGTTGACGAGTAAGCCCACCCCAGCCGATCGCGTGGTGCCCGGAGACCAGAGCGCGCGACTGCCCCATTGTTTTTCCCAAAGCTTACCTGTCTCGACATCTGGTAAATGTGTCTCCTG